TCACTTAGAGAAAAAAAAAATTGTTTATCCTTTGACCCAGCAATTCTACTTGTAGGAATTTCTCCTAAGAATATAATTAAAGATATGTGTGAAGATTTATCTACAAAAATGCTCATTGTTTAATAACAGTGAAAGAGTGGAGACTTTTTATAAACTGCTATGACAATGAAAAAGGAAAAACAGTAGGGGATTGGTTAAATAAATTACAACATATTCTTGCAATGGAATTCTGTTCAAACAATAAATGAATATTGTAGATGAATGCTTATTGATATGAAAAGCATCCACAATTTTTGCTAAGTAGAAAAAAGCAGATTCTAAAACAACAAGTAGAGTAACATCCCACTTTTTGTTCAAGAAAATAATTAAGATGTTAATGGTTCTTCCCAGGTAGTATGATTAAGAATGTTTTTCTTCCTTCCTTCCTTCCTTCCTTTCTTTCTCTTCCTTCCTTCCTTCCTTCCTTCCTTCCTTTCCTTCCTTCCTTCCTTCCTTCCTTCCTTCCTTTCCTTCCTTCCTTCCTTCCTTCCTTCCTTCCTTTCCTTCCTTCCTTCCTTCCTTCCTTCCTTCCTCCCTTCCTTTCTTTCTTTCTTTCTTTCTTTCTTTTTTAGTTTTCTTACATTTAATCATACATGACTTTTGTTCAAAGATAGTGGTTATTTTAAAAATTGAATAAAATTAAAAGGAATGACCTAGCAAGGACTCAGGGAATGAGAAGGTTGAGGGTGGAACCCAATCAACTTGCTACATCTGTCTATGCAGTTGCCTGTCCTAAGTATCTCTCTCATATCATATTTGCTACATGGCTACATGGTAGCGTACAAGAACAGGCTACCAACTGTGGGCATTGGGAAAACTTTTGATTCTCTAGTTCTGTTTTCTCATGTTTATTTATTAAAATATATTTTTATTGATTTCAGGAGGAAGGAAATGGGAGACAGAGTGTTTTCTCATGTTTATTTATTAAAATATATTTTATTGAAGGAAATGGGAGACAGAGATAGAAACAACAATGATGTGAGAATCATTGATCGGCTGCCTCCTGCACACCCCACACTGAGGATCCAGCCAGCGCAACCTAGGCATGTGCCCTGACCAGGAATAGAACCAGAACCTCCTGGTTCATAGGTTGATGCTCTACCACTGAGCCACGCTGGCCGGGCTGTTCTCTCATGTTTATAGTAAGGAGAATAACATCATCCTCAAAATGGTTCTATGATAATAAAATGTTTAGACATACAGTAGCTACTTAATAAATATTAGTCCCTTTTCCCTTTCTTTTTACTCATTTTTCCTTGCTAGGCCCAGATTCGACCCCCAGAGGTGTTTTTGGCCCTCACAATGGGAATTAATGACTCTTCTCTCTGAATCCCCTAAGTGCTTTGCTTGGACCTCTGCTGAACACTGACAGGATAATGCTCTGAACTGAGTTAGTGCTACCTGGTCTCCCCTGACTGTAGCTACAGTTGGGTCAGCTATCCTGGTAGCACCTAGCACATAGGTGGTGCTCTATGAATGTTTGTTGACTACATTCATGGTGCTTTTATGACTTAGCTAATCATGGGTTACTCAAAGGCTGGATTACTCAAGGGTTAATTGATTCAGATCTCTTGGAATTTTTCTCCCAATTTTTAACTCTGGCAAGGTTTATCTTCCAATCTGCAGCAAGATGACCAGCAGAGAGCGGAAGGAGAAGTTCACTCACACCTCTAGGCTCCTTTCAGCTCTGCAGAGAGCAGGATGAAGAGGAGTACAGGATGAAGAGGAGTACAGGGAAGGTTGTTTGTGATTCCCCCAGCCTCTGTGTTTAGACTGCCGGAACTTTCATCAGGAGAGCTTGGGGCAAGAGGAATCGGATGGGTGTATCATTCATTCCACAGGCCTAGGTCCTCTTTGACCCTAGGTCCTCCTGGTCAAGTCCTTCTCTCCACCTGCCTCTTTGTCACTGGTCATTCTCTGCTCCCTCCTCTGTCGCGTCTAGCGGAGGCTCTACTTTGCTCTGGTGCCTACACTTTCCGACCACACCTTGCGAGGTAGGTGAAGCAGTCTGGTGCTGACAGATCTTTCCGTTGCAAGTTAGGAACCTGTGTGACCCGCGGAAAGTTGATTAAGCTCTTGAAGCCTCAGTTTCTGCATCTAAGAACAGGGAATAATCACACGGGCCTGTCCCGGTCACATCCGAGGATGGTTGAGGGAAATCAAATGAGGTTTTTTAAAAGCATACACTGGCAAAGAGCGCTACATAAACGCCAGGTGTTCCTACTGCTGTCTGTGGGGCTCCCTCTCCTACCTACAGACCAAAGCGGTCCTGTCCGCCCCGCCCTGGCTGCACCGGCCTCGCCCACTGCATCTCCATCTTTTCCGTCATTGTCCTTCTGCGCCTCAGAGATGCTGGGTCTCTCCACCTCCCCTGTACATTTCCGGGTCTGGCTCTTGGGCCCCTCTAGCCCCTCGGGGGGCTGTGGTCTCCAGCTCCTGGCGGCAGTCGCTGCCCAGCGCCCCCCGCCCTGTGCACCCTCCTTTGGCACGGCCACAGGGCCAGAGAATCGCCCAATAAGAGCGCTGGGCTCAAGTCTGACAGCTCAGGAAGCGGCCAATCGAGCCGGGCCAGGGAAGGGGGCGCAGTGCTGGGGCTGAAGTTGGGTTGCATAGGGGGAGGGGGACTAAAGGGGGATACAAAAGAGGGGAGATAGGACTGGGACACAAAAACGAAGGCGGGGGGTGGGGAGGGCCGCGCTCCACCCAGGTCTGGCCAAGGGACCGTGGGCTGGACGCGGCTCCAGGAACCAGAGGGAGGGGGCTCGACGAAAATTTTAGGTGAGAAAGAGGAGCTGGGTTCCACGCGGCCCCCGGAGCCAGGCCTGAGCAT